GCCTTTTGCAAGGGCCCCGCCCCCTCTAAATTCCAATTCTCAACTTTGCTGCAGGGCTCAACTCAGATAAACTTACAAAAGATTAAAAGCTTCTTCTGATTCTCAACCCCCCAGTTGGTAAGCTATTCTGTTTTAAAATTGACATAACAGGCTGTTCTATGTACTCCTATGGTATCTTCTATTGGGAAGAAATTTAAAAGTCACTTGGCACAAAGATAAATACTTGGAATTACCCCAAAGCATACAACAACAGTAATTCCATTTAATGTTGTTCAGGTTCATACAGATACATTTCAGGTCTTAGTCCAGAGATAATTGAGCACAACACCATGCTGCAAATTTTGCTGTTCATAACATTATGTGTGACCTCATGCCATATGGGAACAAACAGTCCCATTTGCATCAGAAGTCAGATGGAAAGGTCACAGGGACACCTCATGCATTGTATGTGCATCAACAACTCTGTACCCTATGTACATAGCTCATATGTTGGATGCTGCACTCACAATTCCTGATCCAGTGTGCTCAGATTTATGCACTCCGCCTGGTGTTTAGCTGACATGTGAAAACCTGCTTCTGTGTGGTGATATGCAAATCTGGGTGGTTGTTCAGGATTTAAGGTTGAGATTCACAATTATTGCAACTCTCTGGGTTTATAAAAGGAAATGTGTTGAAAGATAAGATGCAAAAGATGGAAATGGGTTCTTGGTCAAGAGTGCACACATGGTAGCTTAGTATTTTGATTTTGGGAGCACCTGCTAGATATACAGATACAGTGTCTTGGGGCCACTGGAAACCAGATCCACGAAAATGCTCAGCTTCCTTCATGTTTCTGATTGTCACCAGGCTGTGCACAGAGTTCTGTGCTGTAGCGTGGCTGTTCCATTTTATAGCACTGTCCAGGTGCCAATGTAATAGTAGGCACAACCTAAAGATGATTGCCTTGTATAAATTCAAACCATAATTACTCCTCCCAGGCATCCAATGTATTTCCTCTAATGTCTAATTAAGGTGCTAACTTTCCCTGTACCCTGGAGTAAAAGAACCCAAAGAATCCAGCAGTAGAGAACTGTCCAAGAAGTGCAGTGCAACTTTTTCATGTTTTCCCCACTGTTACTTCTGTCCCACAGCCATGGGCACTCCTCACTCCTGTTTAACACCTTTCGTGTACAAAAGGTTTGTTGCTTATACAAATGTGTCTGTACGTTCCTATGTGTGCCACATTTTTTTCACACTAAGTGAGAGCATTAAAGCCAATTAGTGCATTACTTAATGTGGTGTAACATGATTAGCATATGGAAAGTCAATTAACAAGATAAAATTTGCTGTAATGCCTTAAAGGGGAATTACAACAGTTTTTTAAAAAGAATTCAGAAAATCAAATGTGCCAGCTTCCCAATATTCAAAGCAATGGATTTGGATCAGCATTAAAGTGACACCTGTATTATAGCATTAGGCTGAATTGTTGGATTGGATAGTGTGGTTTTGGAGGGAGAAAGGATACAGCTATTATTCACCTTATTGTTATCCATATCCATATCCTGTTCCCTTTCTTGCTTCAGTCTCTTCCTCTCTCTCCAACATCTTTCCATTCAAAGTCATGTGGCTTTTGTAGGGGGAAGAGAGTGATACAGTACTCTGTCCTTTATTTCTTTGACACCTTATGAGAAATCAGTTCTTTACTATAGAAATGTTGAATGGGAAGCATTATTGTGTCATATCTGAAGCTAGAGAAGCAATTCTTATCCATTCAAAGCTAGGGTGCAATGTCAGTCATAACTTTTTAAGGCTGACATTTAACAGATTGTAAACTGCAAAATGCTGATCGTAAAATTATGCTCCTTCTTATGTGATCTGGCTATATTATTTGATAGTGTTAGCTCTTGTCCTGCAGTACAATGATGTAGTGTAGGCAATGCCTTCACTGGAAAAGACAACTTATTCTTTGCCTGTTCCTTAAGATATAGAGGTAATGCCAATATGACTTTTGTTTTGTTTTTCTGCTTCTTCAGTTGAGTACCTATTGAGATCCATAAAGAATGCCTACTATTACCTCTCAAATTGGAATGAAAAGCCTTGCTTTGTGTTAGTTCTTACTGAATGGGGCACAAAGAGAGGACCCTTTCCATGACTGCATCTATCTCTGGACTCTCAGCCTAGGGAGAACTTCCCTTTTCCTTACTCCAGATGAAAACTTTCTTATATTCAAGAGTTCCTTGGCTATCAAATTATAGTTGATCAAATTATAATTGCTCAAATTATCCATGATCCATCTGAATTATTGCAATTTTAGTTGCATTCATTAATTGTATTCTATACAATATAGCATTTTTCATAGTGTTTACATGATTTCCAGGTTGTATGTTACTTTGTTAATGTTTATTGAAATAATCAACTTGCTGCAAACATGAGTTCCAGAAGTTTGCACATGCCAGGCAGGGGGAAGAGAAACAATTAATATACTGTATATTATAATGGTTGAATAATCAGAAATGTAAAAATAAAGATCTGATTTTATTGATCAGAAATGTATGCATAGGTGTGAGGGCTGAGCCATGGGTGGCTTTCTGAAGTGAGCCAGGAACATTGGGGACAAAGAATAAGATTACAATCCTAACCCTACTTTCCTGGAAGAACACCTCTTTGAAGCTAATAGGACAAACTTTTGAGTAAACATGGTTAGGATTACACTGTAAGTCAGGACAAACCAGGAGATAAGTTTGAGGTGCAAGATAGAGCCAATGATATTGAACAGGGGTCGGCAAAGTTTACCTCGCCTGGGCCAGTTCACTCCAGTGGAGATCCCTCCATGGGCCACATTGTGTGTGCGTGCAGCTGCGCAGTCGCGATTTCCGGTGTCTGCGTCTACGCAGATGCAATTTCTGGCGCCGTGGAAACGAGCCCCTGTGCCATGCTGCGCCAGTTTAGTGCAGCATGCGGGGACTCGCTGAGCAGGTGGCTCAGTTTGGGGGCGGCTCGTGGGCCAGTTAAATGACCCCCATGGGCCGCTTGTGGCCCATGGGCCTTGGGTTGCCTACCCCTGATATTGAAGAACCAATGATACAAGAACACTTCACAGCTCAGAAAGACTGTGTTGCTCCAGCATGGCTGAAATGGAACAGGAAGCTTCCTATTTATACTCTTGTTGCCTGGAATAATCCAATGGTCAGTCTGGGTAGGCAGTAAGTTCAGAGCCAGGAAGTGCTTAAATGAAAAGCTCCAGCATGTGGCTCAATGGTGCTCCACGCAGAGGAGCTGCACATAGATAGGTGGCTTATATAATAATAATAATAATAATAATTTATTATTTATACCCCACCCATCTGGCTGGGCTTCCCCGGCCACTCTGGGCGGCTTCCAAAAGAATATTAAAATACTATAATACATCAAACATTAAAAGCTTCCCGAAACAGGGCTGCCTTCAGATGTCTTCTAAAAGCCTGGTAGTTGTTGTTCTCTTTGACATCTGGTGGGAGGGTGTTCCACAGGGAAGGCGCCACTACCGAGAAGGCCCTCTGCCTGGTTCCCTGTAACTTGGCTTCTCGCAGTGAGGGAACTGCCAGAAGGCCCTCGGTGCTGGACCTCAGTGTCCGGGTAGAACGATGTTCCGGGTAGATTGCCTTGAGCTCCTTGGAGGTAATACTAAACAAATAAATGGGAAATTTATTTGTCCGGGTAGTGTCCGGGTAGATTGCTTAGAGCAATATTATTGAATGCTACATTTTGCACAATTAACATCCCGTTTCTGTTAAGGACAGCAAAAAAGAGCACGGTATTTGTGTTACGTAGTTCATATTTCCTGAAGTCAGTGGCTGAAGCTGGAAGCTGAAGCTTGCAGCAAGCAGAAGGTACCATTAAAAGATGGAATACAGGAATGTTCAGCTGTAAAAAGTTTTTTCACCAATTTTTCACTTCACTTTTGGAATCCGCTTTGAATTTGTTTTTCATTCATTGTCTCATTTGTTTCATTTCCCTTCTGTTATCATTTGATTCATTTAATTTCATTTCTACATTGATTACAGTGGTTAGTATGTTGTTTCACATTCAGATTTTTTTCAGATGATATTTTACTCTCCAAAGGCATTGGGGAGGAAAACTCCTCATTTCCAGATAGATCAGGCAAATCAATTAAAAAAGAGGTAATATTCTCTAAGCTTCACATTGATTTGTGTGCGGAGTCTGTAACCTGAAGCGTATGTAACCTGAAGCGTATGTAACCTGAGGTACCACTGTATCTTGTCTTTTTCAGAGACCTTCAAGATTCCTGCTACAAAATATTCCCTGAATGTATCAATTTGGCTGTGCAGTGCAATGCCTCAGACCTTTAGCAGATGTTGAACAAATATTTCTATTGGATTGTTTTGTTGTTGTTGTTGTTACTGTTGTTGTTGTTGTTGTTGTTGTTGTTGTTGTTCTTGTTGTTGTTGTTGTGTCACTTTTGAAGGGTTCCAGAATCCTTGCTCTGACAGAATAGTATATACCTCAATTTAGGAATGTCTCAGTGGCTCTGTCTCATGTGTGAGGAAGACAGGATACCATTTAGTTTTTGTGCCATCTCTGTTTAAAAGCAAGGGCATTGCTCTGTGAAGTAAGGGCATTGCTCTAATTCCTTGCTGCTTCGCCCTGTGTCCCCCTTTGTAAACAACTATGAATTTGGGTCATATTCACTGATGAGGGAGTTGTTTTGTCTCTTTATTTTAAAAAGTTAAGGTAAGGGAATGAGTGTACAAAATATACTGCATAACAACATAGGGATTTTTCAGGAAAAAGTGAGGGGTTTTATTTAACTGGTTGGCATCTTGTCTTTTGCAGACTCTTCCATGAAATATGCTTCCTGATCATAAAAGCTTTCCTGTGTGGTTTGGTAGGGTTTTTTTCTGTTGACAATCCATTAGAATTTGTCTTGATTAAGGATCATCCACACTTCCTTTTGCATGTTGTTTCTAGGCACAGGTCCACTGTCCAGGTCTGAGCATCCCCACTATCCCATCCCAGAGTTTTCCCTAGGAAAACCCACGTTTTACTGCTGAATCAGAGCAAATTGCAATCATGTTTTCAGCGGGTTGCTATTTTCTCTGGTTCAGAAGTAAAACACTAGTTTTCCAAGGAAATGCACTGGGACAACAACAAAACACTCAGATACAGACCTGGAATGTCGGATGTGTGCCTAGAAAGTGCGGAACAAAGTTAAGTGTTGATAAGCCCTTAGGAACAGGGCTGAAACTGAATGCTGGAGGATTCAGGACAGGCTAAAGGACGTACTTCTCACAACACTGAGTGAAATTATTGACTTTGCTACCATAATATCTAGTAATGACCACCAATTTGGATAGCTTTAAATTCATGGCTGCTAGCAATGCTACTTGATGGCTATGTACTACTTCCAGGATCAAAGACAACATGCCTCCAAACTTCAGTTGCTGGAAGTATTGAGTAGGAAAGTGCTATTGTGCTCATGTCCTGTTTGTGAGCATCCCATGGCCATCTGGTTGGTTCCTGTGGGGATAGAGGTTTGGACAGAATGGGTCTTTTAAAGTTCATAGGAAGCTAGTTAAAAGGGAAAAGAAGTAAAGTTACTTCAGTTAAACCCTCCCGTTGTGCCTCATCGCTTCATGCTTAGAACAGAGCTGTAAAAGTAATATTTGGTGAATACATTTGGAGAGTATGACCTGATATATTGTTCTTTGAGGTACCACTTCTGATTGAATGGGTCAGTGCAACTGAAAGCTTCCCAAGTCATTTTGTCATAGTGATATTCCTGTAAAATGCATAAAAACTGTGCCAAGAGTCATCATGTTTTAGCAGTCCATCTGATAAATCATATTGATTTCCATTCCATTATTCACCTAGCATGCAAAGGAAGAATCCACTATAGTACTGCTAAGTAGATTTTTTTTATTTGAAGAAAAAAGTACAAGTGTGATAAATATAGGATATAATTCAAGTGCCATCTTTTAAGTTGAATGATAGTCCCTAGAAAGGTGACTATTCTAGTTGATTTATGTGGTAGATGTAACATTTCCTGTTTCCATGATTTGACAGGCAGTTAAGATGTGCTTTGTGTTTTCTGATTGGATACTGCTCTCCAAGAAGCTCTTTCTGGCTCTTGGGCTATTCCCCAGGCCACATCCCTAAGTGGCCCTGCTCTGCAGCATCCCTGAGTGCTTTTGCCTGGCTGGAATGTGTGCTGGAACTGTGAGAATGCCTCCTTTGCCACAATGGAGGGGAGAGAGAGAGAGAGAGAGAGAGAGAGAGAGAGAGAGAGAGAAAGTCAGTCTCTGAGTTTTGTATGGTAAGAATTCAACTTACTATATAAAGGTAAAATGTGCATTAGTTGCTCTGTCCAATTTTCCTCTGGCCCTACCAACCACTGGCACGTGTCCCCCATAAAGTTGTACATGAAGGAATATGGCCCTTAAGCTGAAAACAGGTATCCCATGCCTGTCGTAAAGAAGCGAAACATCTGGCCATTGCTGTTCCTGACAGTACAACAGAGAACACTACATTTCTGGGAGCACACAGATACACAAATTATATTTCATGAAGTGCAGGCATCATACCAGCCCAGACATGGAAAAAGACATTTATGAATTTACTGTGAAGTGAACTGTTGTTGCTGTTCTTTGCATGGTCCCAAGAACAGTGTAACTGCTACAGCTTTCTTCCTAGTTACTCCAGCTAATGTCTTCATTTGCCTTGCCAATCTGCTCTTTTAGATTTGAGAATAGGCTTGTGCGAAGCATGGCAGGAAAGAAGGAAGATTCTTAGACTGTGCACATTATCTCCTGGGCATGTACACTCAGCTGCTGCTAGGTCATGGCACAATGTTAGAGAAATCTGAATGTTTACGACAGATAATATTTTGCCATAATGGTGCAATGAAGTTATTAAAGCCTTTCCTGTAAAAACTCACAACCCTCAGTTCTGACCAAGGCCAAGGATGATAGACTATTGCCTGGATGCTCCCCTGGGAGAAGCAAGTATGGTTGAATTGCTGCAGCAGTATAAAGGGAGGCAAGCACAGCTCAGTGTTCGAAACTTGCATTGTTCTAGGCACATTTTGTGATAGGGAATTTCATTAGCGCGAGTAGTTTCTGCGTTCTGGGGACAGTACTGTGCCTAAGATTTCAGATTAAAACTGCAGAATGGAAGGAAAGGAGGACCTTTTACTGCCTCCCCACTTCTAGCTACTCTCTGAAGACTGGAGAAAAGACCCTCTTAAGAATATTAGGGGGATGGGCAGGGGAAGGACTAGACCATGTGAAAAATGAACATAATATTTTAGCTGTTCATTCACTTTCAGCTTTGTATTTTTCTTATTAAAAAGCATGCCTAGATATTCCTTTGTTGTACCCATAACCTAGGTTTAAGGTGCCATTTTGCTCCTAGCTTTCATATTTCAGTTTCTAACACTGACACAGCTGCTTTCTAGTTTCTCTAGGCAATGCAGCATCTGGTGGAGATGAGAGAGGGGTGAGTTCTTTTGCTGTTGGGTTTAGGTGACAATTTTAACCTTAAAAGGGGAAATATATTGTGCGTTTAACTTACTTTGGGGACCTGGTAATTTTGCATTAAATATCTGTGTTGAAAAGTTCAGATACTTTTTATCACTTAAGCTGTAAAATTGTGTGTTTAGGATTGCAACATTATCACTCTCTTTCTACAAGTTTTGAATGACCTTTCCTTCCACCCCACCTTCCTGTTTGACTTGTCTTCATATTATCTGCTTGATACTAACAATGATACCTGCAACATAGCTTGTTTGATTTGTGCTTTTGCTCTTAGAGGTTGTGTGGCTAATTCTTCCTGATGGGTGGAGTGTGTTTTCCCCACTAGCTATGGACAAATGGGAGGGTGAACAGAGCAGCAATGTGCCGTTGCAGTATGTGCTATCTATAGAGCTATTTAATTTCTGTCTGCATGAGAGAGCTTTCAACTGCAGTGTCTAATCACTTCATGTTTCCTCTCAGCTAATTATTGAAGTCTCTGGCTTTTATTCCATAAAAAGCTAAAAGAATAGTTAGAGCCATTAAATCTAATGTTGTCTGTTATCTATGAATGGTAGGAGAATAGATAAACTGGATGGACATGTAAGGTGCATTAGTAAATGTGCATCTGAATAGTGGGGATTTGATAATAACCAGACATCTCAGAGGAGAGTGGTGTTAATGGAAGCTCTAGTCATACCTGGATTGTGGATCAAATGGGACGATGAACTGGTTACTAAAATGCTAATTTTGCATTCCATATGCTAAGTGTGTTATTGCATACACACTAGCAGCAAACACTGTAAAGTGGCCCTCCAGATCTTGTTGGAGATGCTAGCTAGGGCTGATGGGAATTGTAGTCCAACAACATCTGAAGGGCCAAAGGTTCCTTCCCCACCTATGCGTTACAGTGTTAAGGGAGCTCACAGTGCATGTACTTGTGGTTATGTACAATGGAGTGTGAAACACTGTGGGTTTGCTTGGCTGCAGCTTCCCAGCACATATTCATTGGGTGAGAAGTCACTACTTCTCAGCCTAACCTAACACATAGGATTGCTGTGGGGGAGAACCATGTCCACTTTTGCTTGTCCCCCTGCTTTCCACCCAGGGAGAACATGTTCTTTATCGCTGAATCGGCGCAAATGTCAATTGGGTTTTCTGCAGATTGACATTTACTCCAATTCAGTAGTGAAGAGCAAGTTTTCCCTGGGGAAAGTGGCAGTGTAAACAGGAAACTTCTTGGACCCGTGCCTAGAAAGCATGGAACAAGAGGAAAACCTCTTGGACCCATACTTTCTAGCCATGGGGCAAGCAGAAGTGTGGATAAGCCCTACTTTGCACACAAGCGTTGCCGCTTCTGCCCTATATGTGTTGCTGTTGTATACTGAAATAATGTATCCCTTTCTGGGATAACTCAAGGCCCCTCAGATTTGGGCTATATACATACAGCATTTCCCCCCAGAATCCATGGAAACCAAGTACTTGTTTTTTCTATGTAGCCCACACACAATTGTGTGTGTTTCCACACCTGCCCAATGATGCTGTGAATGGGCCTATACCAAGATTGCAGTTATCATTTCCATCTTCATTCACTTGGGACATGTACAGAGAGGAAAAGGTACAGATAACCTAATCAAAGGGTCTTAAAACATGTATCATGTAACCACACACCCACTCTTGTGGATGGTAGGATCAGTGCTGCCCCTGGGGGTACTCAGGGGGTACTCAGCGACGGCACCTGTTTTTCTAGAAGAAAAGCACTGGGCAGGATCTAGAATCAATCCAGATCGAAAGTGACTTGTAGATGAGGAGCATGAACAATTCCAGATTGGGGGAAAAACAAACAACTGCTGCATTTTTGTGCTACCAACAGGTTAGTTTGTATGTAGCCTTGGTTAAGTACCAGAGCTTCAGCATCATTTTGCACTTCTCTGGGGAGAGAAACTCTCTTAAGTTCTTAGCAGCTTAATAAAGGATTTGTATGATGACTGAACAATAAGAGTAAAAAGTTAAAAGCATTTTGTCATAATCGGTTTCCAAGCATATTATCAGTCAGCTAGTATTAGCTCAGTTATAGCATTGGAGTTATCTAAATTAACAATACATACCACTTCAAAACTTGAGTATATATTTCTTAGTAACTTCATAGGCAGCCCTTATGTTATGGGCTGCAAATAAATGTAATTTAGGATTTCCCCTATTGTGCTTCCTTTGATACACCTGAATATACACATTTTGCCATCAGTGTCCAAAGGCATGTTACTCTTTTCAGGTGGTTGTTTTGACAGGTTGCACAATGCAAAGTGACAATTTTCAAAGTGTTTTTCTCTTCAGATGGAATAGTAGGAGCAAAAAAGGGAAGCTGTTTTCTATTTTAAAAAGTTTCTTGTGTGATAATAGTAGGTTGCTTGAGGCAAGGAAGATACAAATAATCCCAAGCGCTAGAATGAAAACTAAAATTGGGTGTTTTGAGTGATTTAACTTCATGCTGCACCTTAATGCAATCTATTTCCCTCTGATGCTATGCACACATGGTTAAAGCAAAGGATTTGATCCAGAGTAAGTTTTGCAATATCATTCCATTTGAAATCAGTGTTAGAAGTCAAGTATCATTTATTTGAAT